TTTGTTGTCACAGGGCAGGGGACGAGGGGCCCACGTGTACTCACCACTCACAGTGAGCCGAGTGCCTGGTCCAGACTTATACTCCGTGTCACCAGGTAATCCTCTCTGGAACTTCACACAGTAGTAGGCACCGGCGTCTGCCGGGGTGATGTTACTGATGCGGATGGAAAAGTCCGGGTTGTCTCTCCTTGTGAAGTCTGAAGCATTTGTTACTCGGGAGGAGTGGCTTTTCTTCAAGTCATAGATGAACTCCCGGCCTGGCCCTGTGCCCCTGAACCACCTGATGGGCCCCACAGGGACCAGTGAGGTCACGGTGCAGTGCAGAGTGGCCGTCTCTCCAGCCGCGACCGACACTGACGTCTCAGGCTGAATCACCTGCAGCTCCTGAGCCGCCACTCCTGGAGGGAAACACAGAGCAGTTATTCATTCCTCCTCATGTGATAGGTAGGGTTTCTCGCATGTTTACCAACAGCAGCTTTCACTGACTGAGGGCACCATGAGCTGGCCTTCAACTCAGCCGAGTGCAACTATCATCACATGTAACTCACACAAGGAGCTTGTAATGTTAGACCCCAATACAAATGAGGAATCTGAGGCACAGAGAGGGTGAATGGCACAACAGAGTGTGGGTTTGAGTGCCTCTCTGCAAATGTCATGCTTTACCAGATATTTCCATCTGTCCACTTTCTGGCCTCGTGGGTTGTACTTCTGGACCTTTGCATTGGGAGGGGCTATGAGACTTCTTTCGACCATGGTGAGGTGAGCAGCAGTGATGGATATATTTTGTGGTTATGCATTTAACTGCAAGAACCTTTAAGGATCAACTTCCCTGTTCCACAGACATGCGCACACTCATGATGGGGTCGGTTCATCAGCCTGGGTACTTGAGTGATGTTGAGAGCTCCCAACCCACAATGGACCTGTAGTTTAATAAGGGAAATAAAACATTGTTTCAAGTCCCTGGGATTTTTTCCCATGGTGCAATCAGGTTATATTAATTACCTAAGGTTGCTGTAATAAATTATCACCAATTTAGTGGCAATCAAAGAAAACCCTAATGCAGAAAGATACATGCACCCCAGTATTCGTAGCAGCACAATTTACAATAGCCAAGACAGGGAAGCAACCTAAATGTTCATCGACAGATGACTGGTTAAAGAAGTTGTGTCATACACAC